TGCTTCCCATCCAGGAAGCTTTTTCAATACATTTTCAATAAACTTGTTGCTATTGTTTGGTTTAACTTGCTTAATCAGTAAGACACACTTGGTTAAAAACGCTTTTGGATTAATAATGTATTAGACAGGTCTCCCACTTTCTAGAAGTGTAATGTTTTTACTGTTTAAGGATTTTTAAAGTATATAGTCTTGGTAGCATAGTATTGATAGTTGAAGGTGTTTTATGTACCTGCCATGATGGAAGGAAACTCATTTTAATAAAACTGTTTCTCATGCATTTTCTGCGGTGGATGTTTTCCATCCATGTAATCATTATTAGATTGATGAACCAAGCAGAAATAAAAACCTTATTGATTGTAAAAGTTTGCCTCTTTATTTGCTTCCTTTACAAAAAAATGTTTTTCATAACAAAGAATATTTTCTATATTCCATCAGACAGCTGAATTTTGAAAAACTCACGTTACAGACTCTGCATCAAACTGACCATATCAGTGCGTTTTTTTGCACCATGTTTTTTCTCCCACATTTGATCACTGCTGAACTTGATGGAATGGAAATGTTAATTTCACTGCTAAGCTGCTGCTCAATTACTCTCTGAAAGCTGTACAAAATGAAATTTTGTTTCATACACTGTGTATACAACATGACAGTAAAAGTTTTCTAAGTCGTGTAGAGCACCATTTTCTCTCCAGATTCCTAGCATTATGTTTCAGAGTGTGCAGCTCTGCATTAAACCATGGAGCCAGCTTTCTATTTTTAAAGTTTTCCTACTTCAAAGGGGCTGCGTTGTCTAAGGCAGTAAACTAGCAACCCCATCAACAAAATCATCAACCTGTATGTCATGTTTGGCTTGACGTGTTTGGCCCACATGCTGAATACACTCGGAAACAGGTAGATCTTTGAGGGTTTTATTGAAAAAACAGAACGAAAGGGGATTCTGCAACCGCAGACCGAAGCTCAGCACAGGGAGCCGGAACCAAGGAACGTCTAGGGGAATGAGAAGGGCGGTTAACCAGGGACGGAGCAGAGAGGAATGTACAGCTGGACGAACGCTTACCTCAGAGCGGGGAAAGCTGAACCGGGGAGATGGCGGGTTGGACTCTAAGCTGGCCAGGAGGAGGAGAAGGCGATCGTCCAGGTGACCAGAGAGCTGAAGCCAGAGAGGGTCCGAGCAGCACCGGGGAGATCCAGGGAACCAGAACAGCGGGGGGGAACCTGAAGGAGGTCCGTGAGGGTGGGGGGACCGGAAGGAACCGGGGGAACCACTCAGAGGAATCCACCATGAGAGGGATCAGAACACGAGGGGGCACCTGGGAGACACAGAGGTAAGACAGGTTACACAAGAGCTTGTGAAGGCTAGAGACCGTGGTAGTTTTAGCATACCACTACGGTAACACTCAGGCGTCCTCCCGCTGTCTGAACGCAGTTCTTATAGAGCACCCCGGTGCTGCTGAAACAACCTGCTGGTGTGCGAGCACCAATCAGTCAACCAGGAACACCTGTGGAGAAGGCAGAGGCAGCAGAGTCCTGACACTGTGAAGGGGAACAAATTAAACTTTTGCCCTCTGCAGCACTGCTCAGCGAAACAGATTAACATAAGATATTGACTAACACTCGCTAGCAGCTCGCCAAGTCTAAATCACAAGACCCTGGACTGGTCATCTCTATGGATGCGGAAAAGGCTTTTGATAGAATGGAATGATTTATTCTCAGTCTTAAATAGGTTTTAGTTAGAGTTTTGTTTTGTGGATTAAAGTGTTATAGAGTGCCCCAATTACCATAAAGACTTATGAAATACAGTCAAACTTCTTTCCTTTAACACCCAGCTGCCAGCAAGGATGTCCACTATCACCAATGCTGGTCTCCGTCACAATTCAACTGCTTTTGAATGCCAGGGGCGGTTCTAGGAAAATTCATGGGGGCAGAGAAAGAAGAAAAAAAATGAGACAATATATATACATATTTTTACAACATTTCTGTCTATTTAGAGCACAGATGAAACACAAATGTTTATGTTGTTGTACTTGTAGTTTCATAGTAGAAGACCTACAGTCACATTTCCGTTCAGCAATCTCTCATGCTCTGGCAACACACCGTCCTGTAATGCTACAATAATAGCGTTCTGTGTTTGTTGTGCATTAAGGTCCAAAGTCTTTGCCCTTCTGGATTCAATGCTTAGCATCCCTAAACTGCTGAGAGGTTCATCAGTAATGGTGGGCTGGACGTAGGTTTTCACTTATTTTAATTTGGAAAAACTCCTCTCACAAATGGCAGAACTCACTGGGAGTGCAACAGCAATTTTGCACACTCTAAAGAGCTCGCAGAATACTTCTTTTTTTGGCTGAATGAAACGAATAAACTCCACTGTATCAGAAGGGTTTCCAGTCTCCTGACTCTTTATTTTTCTCTCTAAAAGTCTCCTGATCTGATGGAGTTCAGGTCCCAGATCCTCAATATTGGCATCATAAAGGCTACCAAATTCAAACAGAGTTGTGTCTTTTAAAAATGCATCTTAACAACATCACCTGGGGTTAAGAGACTGGATACAAGTCATCAGCTCACAGTTTGTCTGCAACAACCCAAAGAATTCCTCTGCCTCTGGAACTGCTTTGACAGAATTAACCAGCACTAAATCATGGCAGTGGGTACAGCAGTCAATCTAAAATGCTCATTTGGGTTTTTCTCTGATTCTCACCTGGACCCCTGAATGCTTACCACTGTTGCGAAATTTTACCAGAAGATTGTGGATAATTAACTAACTAGAACTGTAAGTTATGCTTAATTAATAGGTCATTCAAATCAAGGGTAAAACTAATTACTCATTATCAGTTGAATGATTATAACTGATATTTGCTTCCTGACCAGGGTTTTAGCCCCTTCCCTAAAGGGTTAGAC